TATGTTCTTAAGGGGGGGGGGGGGTTATGTGTTTAGGCTTATCCGGGGGGGGGGGGGTTACTGTGTTTTAGGCTTTCTTTGTCTTTGTTTGGTGGAGATCTACTCCTATCCTTACTGGAGATAGACTCCTATGAATCAACGTCGACTATAACCCCTAGCCTTCCAACCCTGTCTTCGATATTGCGTATGCGGGCTCGAATCGCATTAGATGAAGATGTTTCTCATAACATCCAAGTATAATGGATGAAATGGAGGAGTTCTAGAGGTGTACTTTGTGATAGGAAGATATCTAATAAGGTGAAAGGTAAGCTCTATAGAATGTTATTATAATACAAAATCTAGCATCTTAAACATTTCATAGCTTGGGCTCAATTATAATACAAAACATCCATAACATGGGCTAATTGGTTCGTGCATTCATATAAATAAATAACTAAACATCCACATAAGTTTATTGATTACAATCCTATAACTGCGGAGTTCACTAACAGATAGATATAAATAAGTTCTTGTACATATAGCTACATAATTTAAATAATTATTGACTCTAAAGGTTACTTTTCTAGCTCTACGGCGGAGGAAACAAATCATTAGTCAAAACAGTGAGGAATCTACTTCCTAGAAAATTTGAATAAAAGAAAAGTGATTTTTATAATGAATAATGATTAATGTATAACACAGGTATTCACACGAAATGCTTCCTAAAATACTAAAATGGACACAACCAGTTAAGCATACGGCACAAAATCAGCACCCACAAGTAATCGCACTTTCAAATAATCAAACAAGTGAAAATTGGTCAGTGGCATCATTGAAACTCCCGATGAGCCATCCTCACACATCGCCTGCCCTCTCAAAAAGAGGAAGGGTTTTTGAATGTCATTGTCATTTCTCTATATTTCGCATTATAAACGAAAATGTTCTATTTTTGCTTAATGCAATTGTTGTTTCATACGCAGAGGGAGAGAGAGAGAGAGAGAGAGAGAGAGGCTTTTGGATGGCAATTGGTGAGGTTATTTTTTATTTTTAAAATGGTTGATGTGTAAATAAAATTGGGTCTCATTTTTATTTACTTATCCTATTCAGCTTATTTGTAACACACGCGCGGTTGTCAATGTCGAAAGGTGTTTACGTGGTGCAAAATTTTTGACTTAGCAAAATAAGTAGAATGAAGTATTGAATAAGAAGAGAGCTCTTGAATTTTCTCTTTATTTTATCTTTAAATTTAAAAAGCTGAAAATGGAAATGCCTAAATAACCACTTTTTCATTAATTCAAACTTTATAGCCTATTTTTTTCAAAAAGATTTCATTAGAATAAAAGAGGACAAACATTCTTAATTGATATATTAGTAAAAATACTATAATTCTATAATTCTATCCTTTTTGTTAAATTAGAATTATAAAAAGTTTTAAAAATACAATAATCCAATAAGTCTAAATCAAAGTGAAAATTTAAAATAATTTGTTTTAATTTCACTGTATTTAACTAATAGACTTTAATAGTAAATTATTTAACTATATTTTAAAAAACTCAGAACATAATAAATTAAAAGAATTTATGTTTCATTTTCAATACTTAAATTAATGTTTTTAATTTGCCTCCTAGAAAGCAATATATCATGTGAGAATCTATAATTAAGAACATTAAAATCTATTAATTATAAAAATTATTAGACAATAATACTGTAAGATCAAATAGAAAATATAAATATATATATTTTATCAAATTAACATGCATAAAAAATATAAGTACAAGGATATTTAAAAGAAAAAATGGAATCTATTTTCTCAACTTAAAAGGTTCTTTAAAAGGATAAATGAACATATTTCTCCAATTGGAATGCATAAAAAATCTAACTAAAAGAATATATTAGAAATTTTAAAGGCTAGTACAGAAAATCTCATTATTCCCCCCTTTCCTATATTTATATATAGTGTAGATAGATAGTATAGATAGATCATCATCATCATCATCATCATCATCATCATCATCATCATCATCATCATCATCATCATCATCAATAAAAAAATCTAACTAAAAGAATATATTTAGAATTTTAAGAGCTAGTTTAACCGGGAAAACGTCATTATTTCGCACCTCTTCCTAATATTGTATATATAGTGAGTAGAGTAGAAGTTATGATGTAAGATAATGATCATCATCATCATAAGATCATCATCAGTCGATCATCGATGATCATCATAATGCATCATCATCATCATCATTCATCGATCATCATCATCAATGCACATGAATATCATCATCATCATCATCATCATCATCATCATCATCATCATCATCATCATCATCATCATCATCATCGTTATTATTATTATTATAGATAAATAGATTACAAATTATATATAGATATCATGAAATATTAAAAATCTATTGTAAATTAATATTTTTTTTCTATTCTATAGTCTTTAATACATCGAAAATTTAATTATTGCATTATCTCTAGATATTTAAGTTTTATAATAATTTATACTGATTGATTTTTAGTTGTAAATTATTCTTCTAATTTCAGAAGTCATTCTATTACTATCTGTCGAGAACCTTTTTTTTTTCCTTTTCTTTTTCCTTTTCCTTTCTATATCTTCACGAATAGAATAGGTGGTTGTTGACCATTTCATCGCACAGTTTTCCTATTTACCGGTTTATGGAGGTTGATAATAAAAATAACACTTAATGAATTTTCTAAAAAAAAAAAAAATCATACATTTATATATAGTATATAGTATAGATATATTTATATAGGCGTCATCGGAAATTTCATTATTTCCTCTCTCCCCATTCATACATTTATATATAGTATAGATATGGACATTTTTTTTTTCTAATATTCCTGGAGGTTATATTTTCCTCTATATGTACTTTAATCCATCTTACTTCAAAATAATATAACAGTAATCTTCATACTATTTTGTTTTTTATAATAGGGTTTCAAAAAAGGATTAGATTAATCATTGAGTTTAAATAAGAATGAAAAAATGATTATTACATTCTATTTGATATACAGAATAAAGAAAATAATTATTACATACTCAGACATATAAAGAGATAAATAAAGAACATAAACCAGCAAGTAGTTACCAAAAATAAGATTAAATATAAATTTGACTTCAATTTTTTTAAAAAGTTTCCCCTATAATTTTAGAGTCTAGATATAACATATTATCAAAAATTATCTTTTTTTTATAATAATAATTATCAAAAAAAATTGTATTCGTTTATTTTCCAAGAAAGAAATTAGTAGAAATGTGGTAGGGGCAATTTTGGGTTTTGAAGAAGTAATCATATTTTGGGTCTGGTTTCATGGTGGGTGACCCGATCCAATTTTCGTCATTGAAGATAAGAAATCGAAAAAATTAGGTAGAAGCTGTTTACGCAGAGGAAGATAAACTGCTTCTCTTTCGCTTTGTGCATAGGCAGATAATCGATGATGTCTACTAGCAGCGGGAGATGCCTTTCTGTTTTTCGGCTTCGTCGGCCAATGGCGCTAAGAGATAGATAACGGAGATGCCTTTCTGTTTTATAGAGAATTAGAGAGATAGGAGATAATATATAGGGTTGCCAGGATAGATATAGAGAATACTAAAGCAAGAATAATCATTTGAGAGGTAAAGAGCAATCCTGATTCATTCCACATCATTGATGATTGTTTAGAGGCTCCTTTAATTTTTTGATGCTTCATAGGTAATCCTCCTTCCACTATTAAGCGAAATTTAGTAAATTGGTTCTTGCAGTTGTTTCGAAATGAAACATTATGCCTACTGTCATTCTCTCTCTTAAAACAGATGAGAATGTTGGGAATTTCACATGAACATTTATTCTTTAAAGTATTCGTTGAGTTCAAAGTTGCTTCTGCCATTATAGAATCGGTTGTGGATTTTGGTACTCATCTTATCGGTAAAACGTCAAAACTTTCGGGAGATTTTAAGCCTGACCATTGTATGCTCTTACTACCTTAATCCATGGCTTATGTTAGGGAGTGAATAAATTTGGTGAAGCTGTATGGATTTGTTTTTATGATAATTGTTTTGCAAACAGGGTATAACCCAATGTTTATCCTATAATGGTGATGTGTTGAATGGTCTGTGTAAATTTGGGAACCTGTGTGCCTTGGTATTGCTGAAGAAGAATGGTGGAGAAAGGTTCGTCGACCTGATTTGGAGATCTAATATGCTATTCTCTTGAAGCCTGCAGGAGTTGGATTACGGCTCTACTGAGGCTTTAGACTTTTCGGTATCTTCAAGAATAAGAGACAAAGGTATCTGTACCTGATGGTTACGTGAGCCGTACGAACGACGTCTTGTGAGATCCTGGGTCTGGTGGTGTGGTAGATAAAGGCAGGTGGGAAGGAAGCTATGGAGTGGTGTGCGTTCTAGCGCCAAGAGGTAGAGAAAGCAAAGACGTCTTACAGGGCAGGATTATGAGAGGAGATTACCGTTTGTGAGTACTGGCCTTGGTTGTTGGGATTTATTGTAGGGAAGGAAAGGTTCAAAGGCTGATGATGTAGGGTAAGGAATTGATGATGCAGGAAGGAATAAGAGCCTGAGTTGTGCTATACACCGGAGCTACATAGATTCATTGATAGGACGGATGAGTGCTCACAAGCCAAGGTGGATCACAGCTATGAGAATTATTTTGACTTGATGGTGCACAAAGGGCTGTACCATACCTGTATTTGAACCGGTGTACACATCTCTATGTAATTTCATTGTTGTACTGTAAGAGAAAAAGGAGATAGGGTGAGGCAATATGCGGCTTCTTGAGTGAAAATGCCGTTTGCGAAAGGCTTGTGCCTAATGAGATTCATTATAATTGGTCGTATAAGCAGTGCGTTGTGTAAAGCAAGAGAGGTCCCTTGGGTCTGCGTAAGTTTGTATATCAAGGAACTGTGTGGTGCTAGTGGCCAGTTCTCGCAAAATATATGTAGACCTACTCAATCTGATAGATGGCTTTTGTAAGAATAGGCTGTTGTTTGAATACTCAATTCTGATAGATGGCTTTTGTAAGCATAGCTGTCTTGATATGGCATTGGATCTATTTCATGAAATGCAAAAGAAATTATTGAAGCCTAGCCTTGTTGTCTATAGTACTCTAATTGATGGTCTGTTCAAAGCTGGAAAGGTTAAAGATGCAAAGGAATTGTTTGCTAGACTTTCCATAGAAGGGTTGCATCCTGATGTTTTGACATACACTATAATGGTCAAAGGATTTTGTAAAGAAGGATTATTAGATGAAGCATTAAAGGTTTTTAGGAAAATGGAACAGAATGGTTGCTCACCAGATGATTGCTCTTATAATGTGATTATCCAAGGATATCTCCGGATCAAAGATTTGTCAATGGCAACAAAACTAATTGATGAAATGGTTGGCAAGGGGTTTTCTGCAGATGCCACTACTTACTGTGAGTTGGTAGAGGTAAATGAATGATCTGCCTCGTCGAAAAAAAAGCTTTTTGAGCGTAGCTCTAAAATTTCAAGAGTGAAAAGTTATCAAAGATTTGTCAATGGCAACAAAACTAATTGATGAAATGGTTGGCAAGGGGTTTTCTGCAGATGCCACTACTGTGGAGTTGGTAGTAAATGATGATCTGCTCGTAAAAAAAGCTTTTGAGCTGCTCTAAAATTTCTCAAAGTGAAAGTTGAGTTTAATTGTTATGCAGTTACAGGAGGTATTGTTCTGTTTTGAGTTTAATTCAGTGGCTTCTGGTTCTATATATTTGCTGCAGTTGGCCTTGGCAATAATTTGCAATATTAATTGTTTTATTTGCTTTCTTTCTCTTGAACTTGCTGCATACCCATTGAACGCGGCATAGAAAAGCAGCACACTCGATTAAAAGAGGGAACTGATTGTTTATTTTTCATTTGTTTACTCTCCCTGTCCTATTTTATGTGCCTTTGACGTGATAAATCAAAATAGAGTTTTATTTCGATCTCGTGTTGTGTACATCTGATACTCAGTTCGTTAGGCATTGTTCTGAAACTAGTTAATGTGATTCTTTCAAGCTTTATATTTGCCTATTATATTTCAAAACTAGTTTTGTTACGAAAAGAGAGCTATTATATTTTTACTTGCTTTCTCTTGAAGTTGCTATCAAGAGAAAAAAGGGAGCAGTGTTGTTTCTTTTCGCTTGTTAAATTTGCTATCCAACATAATTTGTAATTTTTGTCCCCTTATTTTAGCAAAAATAACTGTCTTATTTTAGTAAATCTGTCTTCTCTTTCTCCATCACTTGTTCTTCATTTTCCTTTTGTGCTCATTTTGATCAAACTATCATAATTAAGGTTGAAACTAGATGGGGACTATTTTTATAGGGGAAATTAAAAAAAATTGAAGTCAAATTTATATTTAATCTTACTTCATCTAATTTTGTCTTTTGGCATGAATTTTGAGATCTTTTGCCCATTATATTTGGTAACTATTTACTAGTTTATGTTCTTTATTTGTCGCGGTATATGTCCGAGTAATAATTGTCTTTTTTTTTTATTTGCTAGTTTATGTTTTTTACCGGTCTTACCCAAATGCAGAACCATAATAAAATAAAAAATTTAAAATGTCTAATTACTCTTATTGAAACGAATAAAATGTTTATAATAAAAACTGTGGAAAATACAGTAACATTCGCAAAATATTGACTGGCTGTCAGTTTCCAATTCGATTGGCTCTCTGCCTACAATGAAGCCAAAACCTGTTCCTTGGTAGATCCTGCATCCTTCAAATCAACTTGGTATTGAGCAGATGAGAATCAAAGGCTAGAAAATAATATTTTAAGATTAAACTAAAATAAACTTGGAGATGGCTCATAATCACACCATCTATATGCAAACCAAAAATAAAATAATAAATAATAAAAATAAAATTGAAGCCTCACATGCTTTGTGTTGGGCTCCAATTTGCTATTGCAAGGTATATTATTAGATTTAGTTCCTTCTTATTTTTTCTGATCATTCAATAATAAAAATAAAAATTTAGTTCCTTCTTATTTTTTCTGATCATTTAATAATAAAAAAAGAAAAAAAAAACAAATTAAAAAAAAACACTTCATTTTTTCTTGGTAATAAAAAAAATCTTACTTGATTAGCTTAGTTTATAGAGTAGTCTTATATACCAAAAAATAGGTTTCATGGACACGAGACACGAGAAATAGGAATATATGCGACACGAATAATTTTTTAAAAAAGTACGATATCAACACATTTAGGACACACTACACTGAATAAATATAATATATTAATATTTTAAATAAATAAATAATTATTTATAATAAATCATAAATATAAATTTAATTAATAAGTCAAAAAGTGCTTACGAAATGAAAAAGTGACTGTGTAATTTTTTTATTTCAATTAGATTGGATATCAATAATTGAAAAAGTATAAGTTAAATAGTGTGTTGTATTTTATTCATGCCAGGTCGTGAAAGGGCACCCAAGGAGTGGGACAAAAGGGGGAATGGGAGCCCCCTTGAATGTATAAAAAAAAAAAATTTAAAATAAGATGACAATATTTTTGAGTAAAAATGCATGGAAAAATTTTAGAGGTCCACTGAATGCATAAATTCATAATTTTTATTTATATCCCATATATTGAAACTCGTATAAACTTTAATTTTTGGTAAAAATTGGTCCATTTCTATATGGAAAGAGTTAAGTGGCCATTGCGAATTTGAAAAATATAACGTAAACATACTGAACTTGTATAGATTTCATCGCTTGCTAATAAGTGAAATTTTAAATTTATGTGACATATAGAATTATAAAAAGGAAAAGAACAGAAATAAATTAATAGACAAATGTTGTTAGAAATTATTTATAATAAATTTAATTAAGAGGTCCAGTTTGCAATTTTTACAGTTAACTAAGAATTTTCTAACATAAACAGTAGTGTGAAGTCTATATGAAGAGCTAATTAAATGTTTTATGTTGTATTTGACTAGAATTTTTAATTTTAGTTATATAGTCTGTATGGGAAGAATTGTGAATAGCATTTATAGTATCGCAAGTTTAAAAATATAGATTTAATTTTTAGAACGTGTTGGGGAGTTATAAAGAATGGGTTCAAGAGTGAAAGACTTGATTATAAAAATGGTCGTAAGAGTTTAGCTCATTACAATCAACATATTTCAAATTTTTGAATTACTGATTGATATGAGTTTGAAATAGTAGCTGCAAACTTTATTTTTGATAGAGAAGTTAATAAGATATGGTAAAGAGGGTTGAAGAACAATCAACAAGTTTAATATTTTTTTTTTGTTGATTATTATTATTGACTAACTAGAAAAGCCTATATATAAATCTATTACATTTTATTGTTCACAATGATATACGGTTTGAAGGATTGCATGACCTCTATCTTTTTTTTTTTTGAGAGAGAAATTGTTTTTTGTTATTATTTTATCTATTTAAAAGATTTTATTTACAATATCAAATAATAGTTTTGATCACCAAGCACCTACTAGTTTTTAAATTTATTTATTAAATAGCAACATATGAGATTAGTAGTGGATTATATAATATAGTATGTATTAGATCCTATTCATTGATTGGTTGTAAGTACCTCTAAATACGATTCAACTGTACAACAGCACCTACTACTCTCTTACATTTATGATTTAATTTTTGTGGCTATTATACTATTGATATGATCAGAACACGGAGAAATATGGATAGAGAGTATATAGATATATGTATATAGTACTATACAACTATATCTCAATTTTCTACAATGATCATATATATATCAATTTAATTATAATTAATAAAATAATATTAATGATATTAAAGAATTTGAACTCATACTTATTATGATTATATAGCATCATATCATACAAAGGAAGGAGGAAGGGAAGAATAAATATATAGACCAAAGCAGGATTGGAATATGTCAAATCTTTAATATATTAAAATTATTTAGTTAGATTTAGAATAATTAAACTAATCATCAGTTTAGTATTATAATAAACACACTATAAGCCAACATCGAGAACACAACAGACATCTAAATAGTGCTTTAGGAGAGTGACATCACGATGTAATAGGACACAAAATTAAGATAATAGACACGATAACATAGAAATAAAATAACAATTAGGATGGACATAGACAACATAGATGAGGATTATATAATTAAATATAGATAAATACACAAAATAATAGATAACCAAATAATAAAAAAAAAATACAAGTAAGAATATAATATAATCAAATAAATTATAAATAAAAATAAAAAAGTAAGAGAGAGAAATGAAAGAGAGTAGATGAAAGATATAAAATTATAATGAAGATATAGGATATATGATAGAATAAATATTGATAAGAAATAGGATAACTGTGATGATACAGAATGAAATTTGATATTAAAGAAGAGAGAGAAGACAGGAGTTAAAATAAAGAAAATAATAAAGAAAAAAAGAAAATGTAGAATTTATATAAATATAAGAGAATTAATAAGTATAGACATAAAATAAAAAAAAATAAGTTAAAAATTTTGATAGTCTCAACCATTACGCAATAAAGCTAGTAAACTTCATCAAAATGAATTGCAGCTACTAATCTACAAACACAATCAATTAAATTAAAATAGAAATAAAATAGTTGATGTAATAGACGTCTAAATTTGAACTATTTTTAAATATTGGTCTATAATTTGAACATCATTTAAATCCAGTCACCGTTTAAAAATAATTTATATTTTTAACACTGTTCGTAACATAAACTATGGCATTAAATTCCTTCTTCAAAGATTTATAATAAACATAGAAATAAAAGTAATACAACAATAAAGATGTTAATTAGGGTTTCATATAGACTTCACAACATGTTCTTATTGTTGAGAAATTTTAGAAGGTAATATGGGAAGAAAAGTGGACTCTAAAATTTAATAATAAATTTTTACAACATTTGTTCTTATGATTATTTCTGTTCTTTCTTTTTTATTATTCTATAGTGTCAAAATAAATTGCATCTTTTTCAAGAGAAGAGTATATGAAATAAATGAAGTTCCAAGTACATAAGAGTTTCGTTATTTTGAATGAGCCATTAAATTTATCCATTCGAACAATGACCAAATTTTTGGTACCAAAATTAAAGTTGATAGAGGTTTGAAATTGATAATTAAAATATATATATAATCATACCAAAAAGTGTATATCTTTAAGGATTTTTTATGTTTATAAAATTTGTAAGAGGGGTCCATTGCCCCCGCTTGGCCAACTCTATTGAGGGTGCTTTCAAATGGACCTGCGTGATACCAAAAAATGCAACACCACTATTATATATTTTTCAATATTGATATCAAAATTTTGAATTAAGTAATTGTATTGAAAATGAAAAAATTAGAGCATTTTTATTTTATATTTCATGAGTCTTATTATAAATAATATTTTATATCTATTTAAAAATATTAATATATATATTTAATCAGTGGTAGTGTAGATCCTAAAAATGTGGTTGATAATCAGTCAACTTGTTGTTAAAGAATATATTTTTATATTTATGATTTATTATAAATAATTATTTATTTATTTAAAATATTAATATATTATATTTATTCAGTGTAGTGTGTCCTAAATGTGTTGATATCGTACTTTTTTAAAAAATTATTCGTGTCGCATATATTCCTATTTCTCGTGTCTCGTGTCCATGAAACCTATTTTTTGGTATATAAGACTACTCTATAAACTAAGCTAATCAAGTAAGATTTTTTTTATTACCAAGAAAAAATGAAGTGTTTTTTTTTAATTTGTTTTTTTTTTCTTTTTTTATTATTAAATGATCAGAAAAAATAAGAAGGAACTAAATTTTTATTTTTATTATTGAATGATCAGAAAAAATAAGAAGGAACTAAATCTAATAATATACCTTGCAATAGCAAATTGGAGCCCAACACAAAGCATGTGAGGCTTCAATTTTATTTTTATTATTTATTATTTTATTTT